ATTTGAGATGTGGTGGTGCATTGTGCCTTGTGGGTTCGATCGAGTCCCTCTAACTAGCATCAAGTGAACTCGGTTTTTTTTCTGGGAGGTTTTCGGTTTCTCCCCAGTACGGTTGGTACTGATGCCCTAGCACCTGGTCTTAATATGTTCCGTAGGATCGCTCTTCTCAGGTAAGAGGGTAGCTATGACTCTTCAGGGTGTTGAGTCCCTCGGGAAAATATTCATGCCCGTCAGTATAGACACCGAGTCTGGACGGAAAATTGTGAAACACTGAGTGAGGCGCACACTTCATGACAGTTGTTGCACCCTTTCCAGGGTTTATTATCCTCTTCTGCACAGGAACAGACAGTGGTAGATATGCTTTTTTTGCCATTTGGTATATTTTTTTGCCCTCAGAAAGCTTGGATTGATGATGGAGTAAAGGTTTTGAGTCTTTTGACTCTTTCGAGTCTTTTAACCTTTCGAATGTTGGAATTGATTAACGACCAGTACATCCGAGGCTCTTTTTTTTGTACAAAAAAACATGGTGGATTCGCACTGTGTGTGCACCAAGTTTTGCCGAAACGCCGGCGCGGCGTTTTTGTTTTAGTTTTGGATGGCGGCACCAGCCATTTTTTTGGTCCGGTTGACCCCGAGCCGCCAATTTTTTTCGGAGTGATCAATCGTGATTCTGAAGTTGGTTGGGGTGGGGCAATGTACTGGTGGTTTAAACCAAAGGAAGGGTGAGTGGGTAAATGATGTAATTCTAAGACTTGTGGGGGAAAAACTCCAAGGAAGTAACGGGACTGACGCCCCCGAGAATGGAAAGGGAGGCCAGCTTGCCTTGAGGCTTGGCCCCTCATGCGACACCAGGCAGGAGCACTGCTGCCCAAAGCACACAGGTTCTCTCACTGTGTGCCGCAAGAAACCCCAGTCGAAACAACACCCAGAATAGGGTGCATGGTACAGCCTACAGAGAGAGAGAACTCAAAAATAATGTCGTTAGAGGTTTTAATATCACAGTGTAACTACATCGTAAAGCCTGAGCATACTCAGACTACCGACCTCCCACCTCCGACTGCCCAAAGCTCCGACTGTACAGCTTGCAGCAGCTATTACACCCTCACAAGAACTTTGTCCTACGGCACTGCTACCAGCACAACCACGGTAAAATCAGTGGTTGGCCTTGGCTGAGTGGGTATGCAGATTTTTTTTTTTTTTTTTTTTTTTTTTTTTTTTTTTTTTTTTTTTTTTTTTTTTTTTTTTT